TGATACGCTACCCTACGTTTGGCACGCCGGATCGGACCCCTGCAAGCTCGAGCACGACCGACCTGATATTAGCGTTTGAATACGCTGGGATACGCTACCCCTGTCCTCAACGTTTTGCTGCTCTGGGACCCGCTACCCCGAAGTCAACGGCTGAAAAGTTTGATCGGATCTCCGAGCACGAGGACGACCGCCGTGATAGCGTTTGGCTCCGCTGCGATACGCTACCCTGTTCTCATCGTTCGGCAAGATGGGACAAGCGACCCCGGATCTCAACATTGGCAAGTTGGACCAGATTCCTGAAGGCCTGATACTGTTCAAGGTAGCCACGAGTTGGACCATTGTCGGCTACTTTGATTGGGTGAGTGCCCAACGTTTACTGTTCATTTCGCCAGACCTCTCTAGCACAGGCAGATGTTAGGAGAGCGTTTTATGTTTTGTTGGTTGTAATTTATTATTCACGTGCTCTAGACCATGAGATTAGCTTTAGAGTACGGTGAATATCAATAGCAGAGCATCACGAGAAACGAGATCGCGATGGAGCAGTACCCTGTGGAGGACCTCCTCGAAATTTGTCGAGCCATGGCGATTTCTATCGAGTCCGCTAAAACGAGGGAAGCGATTCTCGAGGTGATGCGGGCAGAAATTGTGACTGCGGATGAGGCTGACGAGTTTTGGGAGCTCGTTTGTGAGCAAAAGCAGAAGGCCGAGAACAGCCGTCAAGAGCTCTAAGCTCAAAGGCACGAACAGTGGAAGGCCGAGGAGTGTCGAAAAAGGAGAGAACATTCTCTCAGAATGAAAGAGCTTGATCTTAAATTTCAAGCGCTTAAATGGGAGTGAGCGAAACACCAGCTCCATAACTTGCAGACAGGCGAGAACATCGCGCATTTTCTTGAGGATTTTGAAGTTGTTTGCAGTAATGTTGGTGTTAGCCGCGACCTTTGGGTGGGGAAGCTCGCCACGTTGTTGCCGCGCGAAATCGCTCATGTTTTGAGTTTTTTACCCTACCAGGAAGCAGGAGGTTTTAGCCAGGCTAGATACAATTTGATAAGATATATTTTTCTTTCAAATCCTGCTGAAAGTTGGAGCGATAGAGACAGCGCCGAAGCACGCCGTACGGCGCCAGAAGTGGACGCTTGCCGAAAAGAGTGGGAGGATGAGGCGCGCCGTAAAGCCATGGAGGCTGATCGCCGTCGCGTAGCGCTTGATGATGACGCTCGCCGGAAAGTGTTAGATCATAAGGACAGAAGGAAAGCGCAAGAGGCTGAGGCCCGTTGCTATGCGCAAGCCGCTGAAGTGCGTCAGAGAAAGTGCGCGGCCACTGAGGAAAGTCGAAAGGTATCTGACGTTGAGGCCGGTCATAAGGTGCAAAACGCCGAATTGCGTCAGATAGAGCCAGGCGCTGAGGTGTATCGCGATAAGTTAGGGGTCGAGGCCCATCGCGTAGCTAAGGACGCCGAGGTGCACCATAAAGCGCCAGAGACGGAGCCGCTTCGCAGCACACGTGATCATGATGAAGCGCGTCAAATAGAGCAGGAGGCAGACTACGAAGGCCTGTGAACATGGGTTATCCTGGAAAGGGAGAGAGAACCCTCGCGAACTAAAGAGACACCTTCAGGCGAAGTGGTTAGCCTTAAAGGCATCGGGAATCCTGTTCTGTCGCAAGCAGAGACAGCTAGCAACGGGCCCAAAGAAAAGCTAGCTAACCAGTCTGGAACTTTGACTCCACAAAGTGAAGGCAGTGTGCTTGCGAGTATGAATACCAGTGCTCTGAGCACGGCGATCAGTTTCATTAGGCAGAATCGCCGGCGAAAACATAAGGCAAAGTCGAATAACGCCAAGCCTGCCAAAGCCGCTAAATGTCATGGCTCTCTAGAGGCCATACTCAATATCAGGGCTGGGGTCGGAACAAAGCTCTGTAAGAAAGAGTTGAAATTGAGGTCACTGCTGAGATCTAGATTAAACGCGAAGCGCGTCACGAAGAAAGGAACTTCAAGAAATAGCCGACGCCGAAATCTTCGCTTGGTCTCATCCTTTTCTCTGCCACGTAGATGCAAGCATGGAGGGAAACGTTGCAAGCGCTTGAGCTGTAATATTACCAAGCGGTTGTTCCCCACCGTGGCGAATGGGTAACTGGTCGAACGGGCGGGCTAAACAATCCAGTGCAGATGCCCTCTTGTTCGAGTTAAGCAGTTGTACGCCAAAAGTTGCTGCTACCGAGTTCGGCAAACAGCTTTGTTCGTTGTGCCTTTGTCGAAACCGGATCCCTCGAAAGCTATGGAGTGCGCGACTCCCCAGAGTTCGTCTGAGAGGGCCCTCGTCTTGCCATTACTAAGGCTGAATATTGTAATCAGCTTTGAAAAATATTTTATTAGTTTTGTCGTCAGCCGTTGAGCAAGGAATGCGTCTGAATTTTCGCAAGTTTTACTTTCCTTCTCATCGAAAAGCTGACATTGATTTGTTTGTTTGATTATTTTGTTTCCATAATATTTCGAAAGGTAAAAAGTCAGTGTGTTTTATTTTAACAGAGAAGGCATAGTAAAAGCCCATGATTAAAATACCATCTGCGTTTGGCATTACGTGTTAGTGCGCACGTCAGTGTAGGTTAACTTTTTTTGTATAACGCACGCGTTTCACTTTTTCGTTCTTATTTTATTCTTATTTCATAATTTTTACTCTTATTGTCTTACTTTTCAAGCGTGTTTTATCTTGTTTTGATCAAATTGGCTGCAAGCATTGAAAAGAGAGCTTGTAGGAGGACGAACTTTGTTAAGTTGACAATATGACGCTTGCAGGCGACGCCAATGTGCGTGATTCAGAATCGCTTGGTATACTAAATTGCAGTTTCGGTGCTAAATTGAGGAATCCTCAGAAGCTTCGATCATCCAGTCTCTGCCTAAATCACAATTGAGAATCGCTTGAAAACAAAAAATTCTATTTGGTTTAGCGGTGTCATGCACTGACACTTAGCTAAAAGTGTGTCCGCATTGTGTATTTCTCCCGAGATTCGTTGCTCGTGATGCGATTTGTTAGCCCAGCGTAATCTCGAGGAAACATTTGGTTTTTGCTGGTCTGGCGATTTGATCAGCATTTGGAGGGTGCTTGCTTTGGCCAGAGTGGTTCGGCTTTGTGTTTGACTCCGTCGTTCCAGTGAACCTCTGCAGGCCTATGGAAGTCTCAACGGGCGGAGAGAGCGGAACGGCTACCGACGGTCAACCAGCATCCCTCCTTCCGAGCCGCGCTGACGGCTCAAAACTCCGGATGCATTGTCTGGCGGCGGGGGTGCTGTTGTGCCACAGACATGTTCCTCGTTCGGAAGCACGTCTCACGAGATCGAGCCCTGTTCCGACGAACTGTCTCACCCCCCTCCCAGCGCCGCCTTCCGTGCAGAAGAACCGTGCAGTTCCGGGGATAACTTCGCTTCCTCCGCCGAATTACTTTGCAGTTCCGGGTATGGCTGCGTCTCCTCAGCCGAGCCACTGTGCCGTTCCGGGGAACTGGTCTCGCAGTAGAGTCCTAAAACGCTATTTAAGGCCGTGCCGGCCCCATGTTAGAGGAATTTTTGCCCCAGCCGACGTTGTCGTGCTGGCCGGCTTTGTACATACGACAACCTGCTACAGTAAACGCTCCTTTTGTTGTTGTTTTTAAAACGAATTGCCTTCCTGCTTCGCCTTCCGCTCGACTGCTCACCACTCTTCGCCACCGCTACCATCGCGACAGAGCAAATTCATAACACTACTTAACCACCATGCACGCATGATAGATGTGTCTGCCGCAACGGTTGTTGGGTGCATGGCCCTTGGTCGTGTGTGTGCAACAGAAATACTTCAGAAAAAAAATTATGGACCATCTCTCCGATGGGAACCCTGATAAATTGTGAAGCAGCAGCGGTGCGCACGACGTTGACCCAGTTGACACAGGCGTCAACGCGGGTACTTAAAGAACGGTTTGATGTGAAGCTCGGTGTAGCGTTTACTCTAGAGAATGTTTGTTTGAACGCAAAGACATGGAAGGTGGATTGGGTTTCCTGTAAGTTCATGATAGAAATACTGTTCGCTCGATGTGCGCTCAAACGCTATGAGCAGTGGAGAGGGTGAAGCAAAAGAGATGACATGTGGTGAGTAGCGAGAGACTAGAGAGAGAGTGACGTAAACGCGCGTGCACTGCGAGGGAAGGCGTGACCTATTTGCACAGCCCAAACACCTACTGCCAGGGGAGCATAGTGCGGACGGAGGGACAGCATTATACCGGCTAGTCAAAGAGCTAGCCTTCATAACCAAATAGGCAAGTTCTCGCTCCGCAGCACAAGGCGTTAGCCACTAAGCCACAAAAGCACACGCCTTCCGCCGAAGTAACACCGAGCTGTCTGCGTGCACTACCTACCGCTGACGGTATGTCTATGTCGACTGGCGTATGAGCTGTTTATCAGCTTTTTACTGAGATGGCCTCAAAGGCCATTGCGCTCGTCTACTTAAGCCTACGCTGCGTGGTCCCCCCATGCGCGCGTGTGCGCGTTTTTCGTGGTGGCGTAGAATTGTACGTCACGGGATTTCGTCGCAACGATTGTATTATAGTTACAGAACGCACGGAGATCAGTTCACTCGCTGCAGTCTCTCCGTTCGTGAAAATAGCGCACTTTTCAAACACAGTGAACTGTGACACGAGTTAGTTTGAGGTCATACTGTGTATGCATGTGCGTATACGTTTCTAACTTTTGATTGCAGCAGTGCGTTCACTGTTGAGTTGGAACGCTATTATCTAACTTTCGTCTTGTGTGTGTTATTTTTGAGCGTTATTTTGTCTTGATCAGCGCGCTTCACGTTTCGATCTGGATGCCATTCTTCGCATGACATTGCAATTGGTTGCTATCACAATGATTGCTTCAGCATTGCGGCGACACCATGACGTTTTTTTGTGTTTTACACTTGCTTTCAGTTTGAATAAAACATTTTAAGAAATGACGATGTAGGTAACAATTGTTTTTGTTTCATTTCTATTTTCAGAAAACGGGTCATAATTGCCGCCTTCACGCTAATATCCATCGCATGCTGTTGCTTCACGGCATGGCAGGTGTACGGGACCAAATTCACTCCAGTTCTCGTCATGATAACGCAAACCTTTGAGTAAGCTTGAATTTTTCTTTGCGAAGTTTTCAGATTCTTTAACCGCATTGTATGATCTGTGATTTAAGCTGTTGTTTACAATGAACCATCACAAAGCCAATAGTGACAGCAAGCTGTCATAAATGCCAAAAATAGTTATGTATTATAAGATGAGATCTTTGCTGGTGTATGTCTGTGACGAACTCGGCGACAACGTTCTCTGTCGCGCGAAACAGTGCATAGTTCTGAAAAAGCAAAGCAAAAACCTTACACTGCTGCAAGCAAAAGGTCATGTTTGCGGCAGAATCGATTGCATGCATAGTGCATAGCAGTGAAGCCCTGTATCAGAAAGTCACGTGAAAGACATATATGCGGGCGTCAAGTCGAGTGAAAAGCCGCGCTAACACACTCAAGATTGCAGGGCGAAAGCGTCGAATCGCACTGGGCCTCATAACATCGGAAGTGCGTAGTTAGTATGTAGTGTAAAACTTCCCACCCAATAAAAGTGTCTCAGCCTTTCTACATGATCATCAACATTGCTATCTAGAATAACAATAAAAGTGCGCAGCCACGCAGGTGTACAGGTTGCCCTACAGATGCGTAATGGGCATTTTGCTGAAATCCACACACCTTTGGAGAAAGACATGCAATAATATAAACGTTCTAGTCAAGCATTCAAACGGTCAATTTAAGCAAAAAAATGAGGCGGCTGTGTGCTAGTGGTGCGAGAAATGGGATAACGGTGACGCTGGCTGCATTGACCTTTCCTGTTGCTTTCTTCTCTCTTTCCTATGTTACCTGCCATCATACTATATTTTACTATACAAGTCTACGCTATGCTTTATCTTTCTTTCTATGTGGTTTCATATCAATCAACGTCTTTCTATTTCTCTACTCCCCTTTCTTTGTGTCGTTGATATTTTTTGCAATTTTTCTGTGCCTCATTTTTTTATAGCTACACTTGGAACATTACTAACTGCACCACTGCAAAAGCCACGCAGTACGAATATTTGTTATGGACAATCTCAGACAAAGTTACCTAGTCTGCCCACATTGAAAACATCTGTACAGCAGCTACTCGGGAACTTGTACTACATAGACACAATTAAAAGAAAACGCACCCCTGATACAAGGCATCTCGCCTACAGAACATTTAGAGTTGAATAAAGCTAACTACGCGAGCGTATTTGGGGGCAACCATCTACAAAAAAAGGTAAGTATAGGCTCGAGATGGTAAAGATGTGGAAAGTACGCTGCATATTTACAAGTATTGATTCACCATCATCTACAATGCAGGCAAATAAGTTTACCACCTTAGAGCAGCGCTGGAAGATGAGATTTTATGTTTTATTCACGCTTCATCACAATAGACTGAATGTGAATGCGTGTACATGTATTCTGCCATTGTTGCAGTGCAAATTCTTCTTCATGTTGACCTTTTGTTGGGGCTCATGCCCACTTCAGAGGATCAGTCACCAATTGAGTTGTTTTATAAAATATTATCAAATTTAGATCATTGTAAATTATAGAACGTAAATATTACAAATTTAGAACAAAGTTTTGATGCACACGTGAGTGAACCAACTCTAAATGTTTTTATTAGTATCAGATAATATCTTAGGGATAAAAACTAACATAAAAAATACAAGTAAATAAGTGAAAATAAATAAAGTAATAAAAATACAAAAACTCATGCATATATCTTGAAAGAAGGATAATATTTAAATCAGTTTTTTTAGTCTTTTGGTTTCAGTCAGCTAATTCCGCACAGCCACGCCAACTCCCGCACTTACAAAACCAGAAATAGAGGTAGAGATACCGACATGCACATTATCTACTTTCTTATCAAATGCATGCTAACTTTTTGAAGTACTGTACTCAATTTTTCCGAGAAGCATTTGGGAGTTGAATTCCCTGCATGCTACAAAAATTTATTCAATAAATTCTTAACAAAAACGTGTTAGAGAAGTTGGTGATTACGTAACATGCTGAATTTACCACTACAAACTACAAACACACGTGAGATTGCATGCACCTGTTGCTGTTTCTGGCATGATTACGTGTTTGGTAGCACTAAATATTTCTCTTATGTTTCATTAAAATCTGCCAGTGCTCTTGAAAGTGCGCTACTTTCTGATTTAGAAGCTCTCATGTGAATTCTTTCTATCTGTTTTGTGTTTTATGATTTTTTCACTTACATATTTTATTGATGCAGTGCTGCTTCCTAGTTTAGAAATGGTGTACTTACTCATTGTTCACGTATTTCGGGGATGGTTTCTTTCTCTTGACTTTTTTTCTTCAATTTTGTGTTGCTGATAATTTTGTACGAGATTGTGGTGTTAAGTTTTCCCAAAAATAGGTCTAAGTTCTTTCCTTTCTTTATTATGTGCAACTATACTCTCCTGCGGTAAAGTACGGCGGAGTGGGAAACTGGCTGAGAATAGCCGCAGGACAGAGAACGAGGAAAATCAAGTGCTGAGAACGCCGACGCTGGCGACTATGGCTGCCAGATTAAAGAAGTATTAAAGTATATTTCGCTTTTGTGTGTGTAAAGGCCGTTACATGGTGGCAGCATTGGGATAAGAGGAATGAACTGACTCAAGGATGAACTGGTGATCTCGGTAAGGGAGGCACTGGAGGGCAGCTCCAAAAGCGAGTCTGTCATGTCGCGCTTACACTATTGCTCATCAGTCGCACTGCCAGCACGTAAAGAGTGACGACATCCACGTTATCAATAGAGGGGACTGTAGCAGAGAAAGGACACGTAGTTCATCGTGTCGCCCCTTCTCACCATTCCTTCATCGAGTAAGCGGTGACTAACTGAGGCGCCGTACGCAGACAAGTCATTGATTACAACTGCGGAGTAAGGTTACTAGCTAGTACGGCAACTTTTAACAACGAGGCAATCACGCTAATGTCCGAGCCGGCTGATGAGAACCTCAGTGACTTAGCGATATGCCAGTATGATGTCACAGGGAATGACAGGCGTGTCAAAGCACAGCCTCGGTCACAAGCTACATCCTTGCCCTACAAACCCTTCGTTCATGAGCCATTGCCGCACACGTGCTAGAATGACTTTTAGCTGTGAAGCAGCTTTTCGACTAGCCTGTGTAATTCTGTCCCTCTGTGCGCCCCACTGTTCTCGCCGCAGGTGTTGGAGCGGTGCCAAGTAGCACACACACTCCTAGCAAAGCGTGGTGACATCCCTCTCCTTGATCTGTAGCACGCTCAATGCGTGTCAGCTGTCTCTCGCTTCACTTTCTCCACCACTCGCAACGCTCGAGCCCACTCCTCACGTAGGCATTGTGCAGAAAACGCAGAGCCGCCATTTCTTTGGCAAAGCCCACCGTTGAGCGCTTCTTTAATCCAACAGTGATCTCATCCACGATAATGATAATGTCACGCTTCGTCTTCTACACAATTTGCAACATCCTCCTTGCCCCCCCGCCCCAGTGGCGCCAGACAACAAAAAATCTGAACTTTCACATGAGTTCTGAATACAAATCGTTCGTCAGTATTAGTAAGAGTTCCACGTCAGTCGTATTATGGTATCATCCGAGTCTCCTCCTGCACTTGATCTTCGAGCGGTGTTTTCGGCACTTGTGCCACGTTCGTGCTATTGAGTGCGTCGACAGCGATGCATTGCTGTTTTGTCTGAGCAGGTTTTTTCGTGATGAAAACTGTAATTCAAGGCGCTCCCAGAAAAATATTTTGTAGCTCTTTCTGAGGCACCTTTTCCCCCTAATGTTTTTCATGGCTACACTTTTCTCGCAAGCATCCGCCTTTTGTTTTCGTCCTCATGTTATTTTTACCCCTCGCTGCTGTGACACCGTCTCAGAATTTTACGGTAATCAGCCGTACTATACATTTTTTGTTCTAAATCTGTTGGTGCACCTTTCTTGATGAGCAGCACAAGGGGCTTGTTTTTTTGTTGTCTCGATTTTTTCTTTTGTTCTTTCTTTTATTTTTGTTCTGTGTAGTAGCCTTGGTTTTCTTCTTTCGGGCACTTTTAGGAACAGTGGTGAGAAGTGTATGCCATCTGAGTCTTCCAGCTTTTGCGGACACATTCTTAACATCTCGTTGGTAAACATTTGAATATACAAAGTCTGCCCCCTTTGCAATCATGAGAATGCCTTCCACCTCGAACTCCGGAGTTATTGTAGACGTCTTGTCAATCATTATTAAAGTATTGAACGTGGACAGCTCTAAAGGCATGGACCAGATCATTGTAAGTAGCAGTTCTGTGTGGGCTTTTTTGATGATCGCTACTGCAGTAAAGGTGTAAGGGGTTGGCTTCAACCACGCTCAAGAATATATTCAAAGCCTGACTGGTCAGGAAGATCTACAAGATTACTGTCCAATAGGCTTCGTCTAGATGGTGGTACGCAGAGACTGCTTTTATTGGTGCTTATACTTCGATCTTTTGTCTTATTGTCTCTAAACGAGCCTGCTGTGTCTTTAATTCATCGGCGATCTGACGTTCGATTCTGACCTTCGCTAGAATAATCTGGTGCTCACAAACTTCCACCTCCTCCATATCAGCTTCCAACATATCGATGTCAACTGCATCCACTACTTATTTGTCGGTTATTCTTAGCTCATCGTACTGGTAATTCAAAACTTGTTAAAAATTGCACTACTCACACATTGGTGGGCGATCCTATTGCCGAAGACGTTTGATGTCCGCGATGACTTGTCTGACGACCTTGCGTATTTGACTTCGTTTTTTGTCGAGGGCCTCCATGATTCGACTGAGTGTCGAAAACGTGAGAAGTCACTGGCTGGTCGTGTCACGAGGCTAAGTAGGAGTCAAGCGGTAGCCATCACTGAAGGTTCGCACAACCAATATCGGTCAGTTGTTGGGCTGTCGTTCTTCCTTGTTTTGCGACTATTGGGCCGTCGTCATGAAGGGGGAGTGAGGAAGAAGCCAAAGTAAATGTGAGGGCTCCCGCCTCGCGAGCCTCCAGACGATGCCTGCCCTCACGGGGCTGCACTGTCAAGATTCACTTCGCTGACCTTGA